GCTAATACACATCACCAAAGCTGTACATGGAAAGAAAACATACAATAAAATACTAAAGTGAAGCTAGCTTAACTGTATAACTAGATTTATGGTATCTGCCAGCAGCCTGCCAAATGCTCGGATTTTGTTGTATAGGTATTCACTTCTTCAGAGCGCTAAATATTTTTATGATATGAAGAAACAAGCTGAAAGTGTATGAAGATGGACATTTCCTCACTTCTTGGCACTGAGTTGGAATATAGCATTAATGAAGTTTGAGGACACTGTGGAAAGGGTACACTAACTTGGATAAATAAGATATAAATTTTGACAAATTCAATCTACTTATCAGTTTCATCCATAAGGATCACCTGTTATTTTGGATGGAATTAACAGCTTAGATAGCTTGTAAGGATGGTGTGTAAAACCATGGCATAGAGAAAGACTTTTATTTTTTTGAAATTTAGCATTGGTCAGTCAGTCATCAATAAGTTTTGAACTGATCTTGACATATAGCAGTTTGTGTCCAGTACATCTTCAATTCAGTCTCTATCCAGCCAGTAATAGTGAGACAGAAGAATGAAACTATTTGTAACTGTATGAACAATCATGGTGAACGTAAATTAATATGCAACAAGTTATGTCTCTTAGTTTTCAGTCCAGAAGTTTCTAAGTGTGCGTGTTATAGATTTGTAAATAAAGATACCATAACATTCATTGTGAAACTGATCTTTGTAGAGTACAGGGCAAAAATGTTAGGACAAAGTCAAAAATTAGATTTTAGGCTACTTTCAAAGAACAATGGAAGGTAAATCACAAGTGAAACATCAAAATTTTATTAATCTTCATATCTAGCACAACAGAAACTTAGTTGAATTGCTTGAGTTCAGCAAACAGTTAATATTTTGTATGTCCCTCTTTTACTTTAATAACTACAGACAGTATTTCAGGCATTCTTGCAACATATTTAATCAAACTGCCCTTTGGGATTTTACTCCAAATGTCTCTAATATACTCCCACAAAGTTTCTTTGGAAGTAACTTTTGATTCGTCAAGTTTTTTATCTATCAAATCCCAGACCTGCTCAATTAGGTTGAGATCAGGACTCTGTGGAGGCCATTGCATCATTTGAATGACTCCAGCAGCTTCTTTCTTAGCTAAGTAATTTTAGTATAGGTTGGATGATTGTTTGAGGTCATTATCTTCTTGGTAGTAGAATCCTTTACCAATAATACGCAAACCACTGGGTATACCATGACAGATCAGTATCTGATGGTACTTGCGCTGGTCCATTATTCCATCTATTTTGCAAATATCTCCTGTCACCTCAGCAGACCCCCCCCCCCCAACAAACCATCACACTGCCTCCCTCATGCTTCATGGTAGGTTCTATGCATTGAACTAAGTATCTTTCACCTTACTTCCACCAGACGTACAACCTACGCTTTGAATCAAATATTTCAAAATTGGATTCATCCACCCATAACACCCATTTCCACTCAGCAGCAGTCCAGTTTTTGTACTTTTATCAAATTTTAGTCTTTTGACAATATTTGGAGATCAAAGTAAAGGTTTTTTAACTGCCACACGACTAAATATTCCATTCTCGTTGAGTCTTCTTGATACTGTAGATTTGGACACTTTTCTGTCATTTGGTAAATGGTCGTTTATCTCATGCTTGAGATCAGTGGCAGTCTTCCTCTGTCCGGAAGACTGCATAAATGAAGATACTTAACATCAGTATGATTAAGTTTAGGTGTTCTGCCTCTTCCTTTCCTATTTTCAAATTTACCTGTCTTGGTCTTATGACTTGACAGTGTTTGGAGAGCATTTCAAGTCTGCAGCAATGTGTCAGAGTCCAACCAGCATCACATAAAGCTTTTTATGTGAACTCTCTGCTCTATTGACAATTCTCTATGCTTTTTGGGCTGTAGCATGACAACAAAATTTGATATATCAAGGTTTATTTGTGGTGTGCTATTAAATTGATTTATGCTAGCTCCTTTCTATATAGTTAAGACACTGCATGGGGTACCATGACAGTTAATTCAGACCCAAAAATTGATCAGTATGTTCATTCAAGGAGAATCCTGATAATATGCCCTTGGTACAAGTATATGGGAATTCTAAAGAATGATAAGTATTCTCACCCTGGCTAATTCAATTGTCAACAGGGATCAGTGAAGTATTTACACAATGTTGACATTTTCATTCTGTAATGACATGAAAGAATTAGCCCCATAAAATGGAAAGAATAACAAAAAATTATCTTGTCCTAAGACTTTTGCACAGTACTGTATGTTAGTTTATGTTCCTTCAATCATCAGTCACTCAGTGATCAACTCATTTCCATATTTCTTATTATTGTGAAGACAACCTCTTTTCATTTTTGGCATAGAATACCATAAAGGTATGCTATATAAATATATATATACACACACACACACACACACATTTTGGTACATATATTTCATTCAGTATCACTCCTTAATTTATCTTGCTGAACCTCACATTATAAAGTGGATCTACCTAATACTCTTTGTGAAAAGCATGTTGACCTGAACATACCACAGCTTCAAACAGTCCCAATAAATGTGTCTAAATTTAAAGTTTTTAATAATTATTGCATTAGTATTCTTAATAAAAACTTGGTCTCGCTGTCATCACTTATCTTGTGACATATAGTAAATACCAGTTAAAAACTATACTTTTGAAGCCCCAAAAATTTCAAATTCTTGACTATAATTTTTCATATCTTTAGCTCCAAGAAGCCATAGTTCATCCCTTATATACAGCCACATCACAACCTCTTTGATTTTAAAAATAAATACAGTGGTCTTCAAATCTAACAGTATTTCAGTAGTTCACATTATACAAGCCTTCCCTGTCTACTAAAGCCATGAACTCATCCATTGTGTTCCTAATACTCCTAACATAATATTAGAAGCGAAGTTTATTCTTGAATATACAATGTTTATCTTTAAATCTGAAAGACTTCTCTAAAACTATTATTTATCTTATGCTTTAATTCTTTCATTTCAAATCACCACTTTACCATAGCTATCCTATAAATCTCTTTATTCACAATTTTCAAAACTCCCTTACCACTGTGAGTTTAATGTATTTTTGTTTAGTTTCTCTAGCCTGCTTTAGTAGAATGCATCCTTAACATATAATTTACCTTTATCATGTAAAGTATCTTACAGATCAAAACAGTCCACCTGTTGCTATAAGCATTTCCTTGGTAATCTTTCATGTAAGCCTTAAATTCTACCTAGTAACTCATTCCAACATCTAGCCCAAGGAGCATTCCTTAAACCTTTTACTGCTACTTTGGTGACCCCAAAGTGATCATCAGTTTCCATACTATAACTTTTGATTAAGTATTTTTACAAAAAATTTGTCTGAGCATATATGGAGTCAGTGTGTTGACACAGAGTTGATGTTGGCTGCTACAAGTGCAATGTAATTTTTGATTTAAGGTTGAAAATACTTTTCTTCCTATGAAAATTATCCAAACCTCCTAAATAAAAATCAAATGTTCTTTTTCACTACTGTAACTCTATATGCATTTGGTCATTTTCCTTAAAACATAGAACAAAGAAAACAAAGATTTAAAGCACTTATGATGTTACAAGATTGATTTGCACTTAGAAGTCATACTCTGGCTCAATTTGCCAGAGTAGGGATAAAATTTTAATTTTAAGTAACTCAGTTTTTGTAGTTTTGACTTTCTTGTTTTAATACTTTTTGTACCAATAAAACTTTCAATATTACTATAGCTAGCTAGGTCATGTATATATTGACCCCTACTTGTTCTCTCAAGTGAAGGGGAAGACAAATTAATTTTTGTAGATTTCAAAGATGCATTTTAGAAAACCAAAAAATTATCAAATTACTATACACTTTAAATTATCTGGCCTTCTGACTATGATATATTTGAGAACCTCCTGAAAATTGCAATCAGACTCACAGTTCTCAAACACGTCCCAATCCTGGCACATATCACACCCTATAAAACTTCACATATCCCTGAACTATTTCTAACCTTATTCTCTATTATCAGTTTTATCCACCCAATAACAGAAATGGTGTTCACTATAAAAATGTTTAAAATGTCTAGCTTTGATGTTTTGACCTATGATAAACAATTGAAATTTAGATGATACAAGAAACAGTTTTAAAAGGCCTAACCTTCACAATAAAATAGTATCAATAGAAATTACACTTACCAGATGAACACATGAGTTAAAATACAACAAATAAAAGCATGGTATTAAACTGAAACTATGACAGAAACGAATGAAATTGAGAGAAAGTTAACCTTTATGCATGGGTGGGAATCAGAGACATTTCATAGAGCACCATTCAACATATTATGTATTTGATGTCAGAGTTATCAACTACTCATTTTACCATACATGACTGATTTAGCAACAGTTCATGGTAGAGGAGGGTAAATACTAAATACAGTGTATAGGGATACTGAAAAAACTGTAGATGTGCCTTTCAGAGGTTCTAGAGATTATGAAAATACAATATGCAAACTATATGATGGGCAAAAGAATCTTTACTGTTCACATTAACATTACTTTGCACTCTAACTTATCAGAGTCTAACTTAGCCTGATGTTATCAATTCATAGACATGTATTGAGTAAATATATCTTTGGAACACATTTGATTTGTTTTTTGTGTAACAGACAAAAGCTTCCCACATTTTGTGTAGATGTATGTAATAAATTTGAAATTATTGTCAATATTCTTTCTGCAATATTGAGTAAGATCACATTAAGTTGATATAAGAATGAGATGACAAAAAGAATGTTAAACTATTCAACCAAACTAAGTTTATTATTGTCAGTATCTAATATTAAATATATTATTTGGTTAATAGTACATTTGGGCTTTGACAGAAATTGCTAGTTAATATTTGTATACTACTTGAATTTGATCATAAATCTTTATAAATCATGTAAATCTATTTATTATGCAATATTTTAATTAAAGAACTCAAAAACATTTTATTCATAAAATTTTATTTGAGTGTATCATTCATAATTCCATACACTGATAATTCAAGAAAATAACACTATTTACTATCTCTTGCAAAACTCATGGTGTAAGTCGACGGGGGTCACGAGGAAACATGGAAGCCTTACGGATATTATCCAAACCAAGGTATAACATTGTTACACGTTCAAGCCCTGGGAATATAAATATGGTTCTAGTACAACATTAGAATTTTTAATCTTTGCACACACTGAAAAAACCTGATATATAAACACATTTGAATATCAAGGATCAGAGAATGCAGAGAATATATATTTACTTTAAATTTTTTTACCATACAGTTCATGGTGAGTTTTAATGAAATTCATCTGAAGAAAAGTGTGTTAGGCTTAATATAAATTAAAGAAAGAATTCCATAACTGAACACATTAACCAATTAGTAGAAGCAACTATCATTAAACTTTTATACACAATTATCCATGGCTGTTTGTTATGTTGATTTAACTCACATATTCAGTAATGATGTCATTTTGGATTCAGTCAAACTCTCTGAAATGCATATAAATACTTTTATAGGCATGTTTTTGTTTGTTTGTTGTTAAGCACAAAGCTATATGATGGGTTATTTGTGCAGTTCCCATTACAAGTATTGAAACACCATTTTTAATGTTATAAGCCTTCAGACTTTTCTGCTAAGCCACTGGGAGATTTTTTTTCTTCAGGATTTTATATCTTACCACTGTCTCCATTCACTATGTTATTGTACTGAAATCAAAATATGCTTTCTCAGAAATATGCAGTCATATACCCTTCCTTCCACTTTTCTCTCATTATCTAAACATGTATATATATTCAATTACAACTTTTCAACAATATTACATGTGATAAGTTGACATAAATGGCCTCATTATAATCATTCATAAAAAAAAACAAAAAAACTTTCTTACTGTAATTGTTATAAAACATAAAACTTACCAATGCCACAACCTGCATGAGGTGGAGCACCATAACGAAAAGAATCGATGTAGGCCTTGATATGCTCTATATCTTAAAGAGAAAAAAGAATTAAAAGTGGTTTAGCTTTCTATCTGTTTTCATTCAGTTTTACAATCTTTCACAATATTCTTGAGAAATTTACACATTCACAGACAATATTATTTAAATTTTTTCTGGTAAAAAGTACCAAACATAACTATGTAAAAACATAAATCAAATCAAAAAGGAATGCCATAAAAACAGCAACACAGCATGCTTTGTAGAAACCATACAATTAAATTTGGTAGCACATATCATGGTAAAAAAATAATCCTATTTACTTGAATGAGAAAAATACAAATATACGATGTATTTAATCATTTTAAGACTCAAATTTCTTACAACTGAAAAGTCATTTGTGGGCACAATTCCTCTAGCAAGATTACACTGTAATTTTAATTAGTCTAACGCTTATTTCATTCAGATGAGGTAGAATGGTCATAAATAGTTTTCTACCAACAAATAACTAAAATTATATTACCTTACACTATAACGCCTAAGAAAATGGAAACTACTAATTATAGGTTACTGTTAGAAAAAATGTACTTTTGTAGCATAATTTTCAAAGAAATTCTTACTAATTCCATGATTCTTTGCTCGCTCTGCCAGAAATTCTGGGTCATGGATTCTTTGAGCACCAGATGTTATCTCCTCACCCCTCATGTACATGTCATAAGAGTTAGAATACTTCTGTAAGACATGATTTGTATTTGCTTAAGTTGTAATATCTATAGTAAAACTAATTATGATGATAAAAACTCTGACAAAAAGAACTGTTTGTTTTAAGTGGAGGTGATGGTGGTGACAAAAAGATGCATATCATAAATGTAAGGCATCATTTTCTGAGGTTAGAAATAGTATTTTTTTTCAATTTTCTTTATCAAAGCTGAATTTTACTTTTTTATTTGCCTTCATAATTTAGTTCCATGTTAAAAATGTTGGAGAATTATTTTACTAACATAAACATATTCCTGCATTTTCATTTAATGTATATATAAAATAAAAGTATATCTTTCATTTACAAATTTCTGGTGATGTTACAAAAACACATTCTAACAGGCTTCATATGATTATTGAACTCTTGTTTTGCTGAACTTGATCAAGAAAAATGTACACTACAGACTAATAATACATGTAAACATTTCAAACAGTGTGTGAAAATAATATTAAACACTTACAGAATTATGTGGGTCAGGCATAGTGTAGAATGGACGTACAGCCAGAGGAAATTTGTCCAATATGAAGAAATCAGTGTCATACTAGAAAGAACAAAAAACAAATACTTCAAAAAAATCTGATTGTTTCATTATTGAAATGAAATTTTAAAATGTTTCTGTACTTGTAAACAAAAAATGAAAAAGTATTTTTTTTTGTTATGTTATGTAGTTTTATATATTTATACTGATATCTATAATCACATTAAGAAACAATTTTTTTAAATGTTGTTTGACCCAACCCTTTGACTCAGTGAATGATATAGCCAGATACCATATTGAACCTGGGATATTGAGCCATTAGCTTAAAATGGACGATTTTCAAAAAGTGATATAAACACAACTTATAGTATAAAAAACTTAACCCTATGCAGATTGCTTAACATATCAAATTATAAACTTAACATGAAACTATGTAACTTGAATGACATATTTATCATCATTGTCATTAGTTCTAATCATTCTGAAACTTGGTAAAAATCAAATTCACAATACAGAAGACAAACATGTTTTTAAATGTATGTTCTTTTAACCCTAAAACCATGTGTTAATCTTACAAGAATTGCCACGGTATGGTGACAACTTTGAACAAGAGAAATACTACTAGACCAATTTTTCGTAAACATCTGCATAAGTTTAGGGTTCAATCTTTTGCTTCAAAAAGCACAATGAAACTTTCAAAATACTGATTGGATATTTTCTTTCTCAAGAAAAACCACTTTTGTTTATGGCTTTTTCATTTTGACTTTGATTTGCACTTCTAGAAAGCCTGTAATATATAGGGCACTGCACACTTAATAAAACAATATATGTTCGATTAGTTGTTATTACTTTTGTTGACTGAGGTCTGATAAATCATGTCTAAGCCTAAACCCATCATCGCTGCATCCACATAATTTGTGTTTTGCAAACATCTAACTTTTTTGCTTTCACTTGCAACTAAGACTAGTTAAACATGAATTTCAAAACATTCTCCCAGTATATATTGATTGGTTTAGCACTGAAAAACATGTCTCTATAGGTAAATTACTTACCAAATGATAATGGGCTTTCATAAAAATCTTGAAAAAATGGATGGGAAAAGCTAATTTTGGACTCATTTCTCTGCAATAGGTAAACTGATGAGCACAAAAGTGGTATTCTTGAAAGTTCTAATATTAAACCATCACTGAAAGGTAATTCAGTACTTTCTACCAAATGCCAAAGAGTGTGATGACCTAAACAGCAACTAATTTCAATACAGTCAACTCCTAATTTTAAGGTTAAAAAATAAGTAAATATAAAAATGATACATGATTTATCAAAGTTTGATCCACTAATGTTTTGTTTTAGTTCAACATGATATAATGGAAAAAGAGGAAAGTATTTTGGTAGAGATTTATAATAACTTATCATGTGTGTATCGGAGATGGTGTAGAGACCAATACCTTAAATACTGATATGAAACTTTAAAAATCACGATCCTATCACACCTGTATTGTATAGTAAATTTCTTACTTGCCAAGCTAATTGTCTGTAAATTCCCAATTAAAGCCTTTCATGCTAGTGTTCAAACATAGCTGTTTGCTGTTCTAAATATCTCTCTCAGTTGGTATACATGGTTATACATTATCCAATAAAAAAAATAAGCTATTTATTTCAATATAAACATCAAAACAATTTCAGGAACTGTAAAACTTTTGTTAAGTTTGTTATAATTCCATTCAGTCCACTTAGCAATACATACCATAAAGAAGTGTAGAATAATTATTTTGGTAATGCTTTAAATTGCATAGATATTCAATTGACATATGTATATCACATTGAAATAATCACTACTGACACCCGATGAACGTTTTACAACAATTAACTACATTTTCAATGAGGTTGAAGTAACAAATGTCATTTCAATGCTACTGACAAAGAATTATCTTTTTTACATTTAGTCTTAGAATAAATTAAAGGTTTTTGATAAGGATGTCCAACTAATACATTTCTACTTGAATATTTTAATGAATAAAAATAATATCAACACTAACAAATGACTAAAGATCAGTGCACAGCAAACACTTCCTTAAGCCAGAATTCTTATTGAAATGGATTTAATTGTTTTTAAATGTTAATGACCGATTAAATGCAATATACATATCTAATCACATATTAAGTAAATTTCTATTTGTGACATGCAATTTAAAGCATTACTATTATTTTTACCAATTTTGGCATTTGTTTTCATATTATCAAGAATGACAGCCCTCTTTACAAGTGGTTGTTGCATCTTAAAAAGTCTTAGTAACATTTTTGCTTAATGTGGTATCATGAACAGCTCTTCCTGGCTGACGACCTTTTCTACTTCTGTTGATGTTGAAGAGATGCAGAATATCTTCTTGGACAATGGACAAAGTTTAGAAAAGATGGCATTTTCTTTCACACTTCTCCATGAATCTTACTGTACTAAGACTGATAGAAACATTTCCAATGCTGATATGACAAGAGAACAGATTGTAGTAAGTTGAGGACCAGGTCTTTGAGATTATTGCCAGCACTTTGCATATGATGCATTAAGCACCTTTCTGTGGGGATAAATGTCTTCACTTTAATTATTCTATCATACAAAAGTGCTGCTGGCTATCCTTTCAATTTTTTTTGCATCAGGAAAGCTATCTGCTTCTTTCAATATAGTATCAATGATACTATTTCTTAAGGCAGATTTCACTTCTTCCAGAAAAGACGAAGCAACATTCACAAGTTGGAAACGATGATCACTTTTATGGAGTTTTCCCATATTCCTAAGATGTTTACGTATTGTTTCATGAGAGACATGCAATTTCAGGGCCA